GAGGTGATGGGCAGGTGAGTATTGTGGGTAAATGGAACATGATAAGGGAAGCGTAGATTGTCTTTTACTCCAAACTTTGTTTTCTCCAAACTCTCTATTTTGTCTTTTGTATTTTAGAAAAAAAATAACAGAAAGGAGCAAAAAAAAAAAAAAAGAGCTGAATCGGAGAAAGGAAGAGAAGAGGATAAAGTTGGAGAAAAGTAAGTTTGGGTTGACAAAGTCACTTTACAATTGAAATTCACTCATGTAAGTGAATTACCCAGCATGCATCGCTCTTGTCGGGTATTGCAATGCATTTATAATGATTTGCAGGATTAATTTCCCAGTTCATAAAAACTGTTACAAGCAGAACATGATAAAAACAACTAAAAAGGATAAATTAACTAAAAAAACACTAGAAAGATGTGTGCATAGAAAATCTGATGGCACAACATACAGATGTTTTTAGCTGTCTAAACGTCAACATAATATTTTTTTTCTGAAACCGCTTTTTTCACAGTTTAGCAGAAAGTATTATCTGATCAAAATGTAATTAATATAAAAAGACTGGAAGCACCGCAGACTGGAAGTATTGGATAAGCCAAGTCTACCGGATCAGCTCTACCTACGAAGCAATATCGCCATCTAGTGGTGAAAAGTCATGTTTGCTTATTTAGATTAAATAAAACTCTTCATAGATTAGAGACCCATGAAACGAGACATGTTTATTTCTTTAAAAAGTGGGTGATGCACTGCAATTAAAACCCACAAACTGAGCATTAAGGTGGCAGATCTCCAAATTAAGGAATCAATTTAATATTGTTTTTCCAAATTATTTAATATTTGTGGATGCACATTTCAAATGATTTTTTTCAACATACTAGCATATATAATATATATAAAGAAAATATATAAAAAAAAAGTTTTTAAATATTACAAAATGTTAATATTGTTCATTATATTAAATCATTTTCAAAGTTTAGTCAAAAATATTAAATCATTTGGAAAACTCCAAAATGTAGGGAAATATTAAATTGAAGCCAAAGTGTTTTGCACCAGCATCAACAAGTTGCAGTTCTCGACCAATGGGATATAGCACTGAGGATCATCCACTAATCCCTTATACCTGGTCTGTGGTGTGTAACATTAGAATTAGGGACCCATAGGACCCAACACCCAGGAGAACCTACTTAAATTCACCTACTTATACCTGGTCTGTGGTGTGTAACATTAGAATTAGGGACCCATAGGACCCAACACCCAGGAGAACCTACTTAAATTCACTAGTGTTGCCCAAGTATCCTGATCTTTTACAAGCAGAAACATGCATTTATAAAAAAGATGAAACAAAAAATGACTGGACAAACAAATAAAAAATTAGACCCAATCAGATGATATATAACCCTGAATTCAATTGAGAAGAAAAAAGTCCAGGCACTCGAAAGCTCAGTAAGGCACAAATTTGACAAAGACCCATTGTAGGGTCAAAACGTTGCTGGGCTCACTTTGTTCCAAATAAATGTGCTTTATTGAGCTTTTGCCTGGGCCTTTTCTTCTCAACTGATATTGTCTATTTGGGGTTTGTGCTAGCCCCAGGTCTAGTTGCACCCATTTTTTGCTCATATGAACGAGTTCCTTATCTGTTTGTTGGTAGAGATATAACACTCAGTCCAAGTTGCAAGCCTACTGTGACTGGTGGGTTGGTAAGCCAAATATATTGCTGAGATACAATGGTTAAAATTCCCCATGTGCCAACAGATTCATATACCATTGAATTTCAAAAGTATATCAAATATCAAAAGTAGCACACCAAACTTTATTGCTATTGCATATTTTTTTAAATTATTTTATGAGAAAGTAAGATGCTTAATATTTAGCATTAAAGGCTTAAATTCTTTTTAAAAATCTCAAAGGAACACTATCATAGTTCTAAAACTGCAGTTTAGGTCCCTGGTCTCCTTGAATCAACATATCTCTATGAGAATGTACAGCACACTGTGCAGCATGGACACAGGAAGCACCTCTAAGGTTGTCTAAAGAGTGGCCACTAGAGGTGTTACTAGGCAACAATGTAAACATTGCCTTTTCTCTGAAGAGGAAGTGTTTACCTTAAATAGCCTGTATGGACAGGTTGTAGACACTAGAACAACTACATTAATCTGTTTTGGTTCTGGTGACTATAATGTCCCTTTCATTTTAAAAAAGACAACATAAAATATAGCCATGCTGTAGAAACTTCCCAGTTTAGCTATTTGGCTTAAAGGACCACTATAGTGCCAGGAACACATACTAGTTTTCCTGGCACTATAGTGCCCTGAGGGTGCCGCCACCCTCAGGGTCCCCCTCCTGCCCGGCTGGATGGCGAGGAAATGGGTTAAACTTACCTTTTTTCCAGCGCCGGGCGGGGAGCTCTCCGCCTCCGATCCTCCTCTTCGGCTGAATGCGCATGCGCGGCATACATAATGCTTTCCTATGGACGCTTGTGTCTTCTCACTGTGATTTTCACAGTTAGAAGCACGCAAACGCCTCTAGCGGCTGTCAATGAGACAGTCACTAGAGGCGTTAGAGGCTGGATTAACCTATTTATAAACATAGCAGTTTCTATGAAACTGCTATGTTTATAAAAAAAAAAAAAGTGTTAACCCTAGCTGGACCTGGCACCCAGACCTCTTCATTAAGCTGAAGTGGTCTGGGTGCCTAGAGTGGTCCTTTAATTGGTTTAAAAGAATTATTTTAATCTCAGTTGTATGGGTTACGCAAGTGTCAAAATCCATTACCAGAGAGGGAAATGAGTGATTGTCTTAATGAAAGAGTCATTCTGTTAGCGAATTCTTCTACTTTATTAGAATTCTAGTCTTTGCGCTCCAGTGTTATGGTTAAATATAAAGAACAATAGTCTGATTTAAGTTCTGCAATATCTTTAATTCATATAGTCATTGCTGTATATTACTATGGCTGTGAGACACGGGTCCGGCAGCAAGACAGCAGGATGACGATCAGCCTTGCGCCTGACTGAGCTGGTGCTCCAGGTTATGTAACGATCTAAGTAAACACAGAAACTAAATGAGAATTATCCTGTCAGCGTGTAATAGACTAAGCTGAGCAAACAGAAAAAAAACCTCTTATTTAGTGACATGGAACCAGATACTTTTTATTTGGCAAATGTTGCTATATGATGTCTAATTACATTTTGTCCATGAAACTTTTCATGAGACATTTTTCGACCAGGTAATATTGATTGGAATCAGAACAATGTAATGTTGAATATTATTATTCATAACTGCAGGCTGTCTAGCAATCTCTGTGCATGTCCGTGCGGCATGGGAGCACCTGTGCTGCATAGCTGCAGTCCTGCGTCTATCACATACATGAGAATAATTTGCTCCGTCATTGTGAGGTGCATTTAATTTTTGTACGAGCTTAAAGTCAGGTGGAGAATCTCCCTTCCATGCTTTGACTGCTCTTGTCTTGGGTCCCTGATGTATTTCATGTTTGTCATCTTAAACAAGGTTGTGCCATGCATCTTGTATGTGAGCACCTGCTCTAATGACGACTTGGCCCCAGAGCAGGACTAACCGTATGGTGAACCTAGGCTTTTACCTTGGGCCCAGAGAATAGACTGTGGCCCCAGAACCATGAATTTTCCTGACAATATTCACCATCCCTATGTGAATAAAGAAGGGGGCTCAAAACTGTCAAATTGTCTAGGCCCATGTGGGATCGTAATCTTTTTCTGTTTGACCCTAATTTCCCTTCATAAGAATATTAGGTGCTGGGCTCAGATCTAGTTCATTATGTCTATGGGGATTTTTGATGCTCAGTCCTTGGCCAAGCTCAGTCTGTATATTTTCTAGGTAGTGGTGTGCCACATTTTGTTTGTTCTTGCGAGCGCCTGGCCAGATACTGTGACCATTTCACATTGGAAGTTATTCTGGTTCTTTGAAAGTGATGATATATCCCAGTGTTCCATTGTGTTCAATATTTCCAGCTTTTCGTTGTCTTAGCCCAATTGCACAATAGTTGGCATTTTGGTTCAGGACTGCACTTATTGGTGGGATCAGTCTGATATGAAAAGGGTATAGGTTCTGTAATGGCACAAGTGAAAAAATTAAATTGAGACCAGAGCGGGTTTTAACCGAAGGGCAAACTACTGAGTTTCTCTAAGGTTCTCAGAGTTCTCATATAATGTCATACAGTCCACATGCCCTAATCACCCATTTTCCCTAACCCTCGATTTAAGCCCATCCAAAACTTAAACAAACACTTTCCTTAGTCCCAAATGAAAGCCTAAACATGAAAAAAAAACCTTCTGGTTCTGGGCTTGATACTTACTGTGACTATTTTTGTCATAATAAATATTCCTTTATTAAAGGGACACTATTGACACCAGAACCACAACAGCTTAATGTAGTTGTTTTGTTGTCTATAGCCTGTCCTTGCAGTGTTAGCACTGTAAATACTGCCTTTTTAGAGACAGAGTGTTCCCTGCTGTAGGAGTTGCTGAAGTAGACCACTGTGTGAGGCGGAAGGAGGACATTACAGAGAGCAGACGGGAGGCATCGGGGCAGTTGTGTGTCCCACTAGTATAATCGGACCAATACAATATGTACCAATGTATACTGAGACCTACAATTGTGTTTTAAGAGCCTAATTGGACCCCCTTACTGTCACAAGATGAGCAAGAGAGAGGGACAACTTAATCCAACCTAAATCAAGCAAAATGCCAGATGTAAAGGTTGATATTTTGTACTGCATTCCCAATTTTGTAACATCCTATTGATTGTCAGACCCTCTTCCTTTCTGTACCCTGGCACCACACCTTTGCCTCAATAAAAATTGTCAAATTGAAAAAAAAAATACCTACTAATAGCAAGTTTGGAAATAATTCATTGTCTGAGAGCCATCAGGAGAAGCTTTGGTATGATTTGGTATGCTCTATCCATGAGGAATGAGGGTGCCCAACACAGATTGAGTCAAACTATCTGCAAATGGTTGGCATTTAAACATGAAAATAATCAATCTCAGCATTATTCCAATCTTTATTGATATACATAAATATAGCTGGAGATTTTGCCACTGGTGAGAAAATAATGATTTCTGAGTATGGAAGCGATAATCATCATCCGGTGTAGCGTATTCATTTTCCCCCCCAAATTAATCTGGCACACAGTAATTTCTCATGTTACTTGAACTGAGTCCCAGCCAGTAGGTGTCCTGGATACATTCTCCTTTTTCTTTACCGCAGTTACAGGAATCCATTGGGACTTGTACTGTTAACAAAAAAATATTTTAATTAGGAATAATGGTGATATATTAAAAAGCATTCCCTATGTATCTTTTTATAAATATATGCACAGCTGGCTGGTAAGGGGTTAGAGGGGCAATTATCAATGGGTATAGGAACCAGGGGAGATGAAGGCACATTTCTTGGATTTAAACCCAATATGGTTTTATGGGGAAGAGGAAAAGGGGTCATACATCTACTAGTTAAAGCAACATGACAGTTCATGTTAGAGATGTGACAGTTTCTTATTCCTTTACCCCAGTAAACGCTACTGCAGTGTTTACTGTGGTGCGTATATGGCAGATGTAAGTACAAATGTACTTACCTCCACTGCCCTTCCGTGTTGTGGAGACTTATAAACTTCAGGGTGCCTCAAGCACACTCATGAACGCTCAGGTATCTAGTGTAGAAATGCCATACATATACTCCAAGCATTAACTAATTTACATGCTATACACAGTTCTTCTGTGAAATAAAGTGGGATGTCTGTTGGCAGAGTACAGTAGGAGGGAGATGGCAGGCAAGATTTGTGTAGAGCTCTGCTAGCTTAGCATGGTGTGTTTCCTGGTTAATAGATCTCTGTCCTGCTGGGCCAATCATACTTATGGAGGTTGCCGATGTTTGAGCCAAGTCCAGTAGTAATCATCAATCAAACCTATATAGCCATGCATATCTGTGAGCTATGTTTGTTAACAGAGGCCATTCATTTTTACTTGACAAGCAGGCTATAAGTTGCCAACTCTACTCTGAATATATGGGTACATTTATATTGTCATTTGGGAACAAGGAACAAATTAAAATACAAGATTAAAATCATGTACAAGTTCAGTTTTAATTATTCACTTAGAAATCAACTACAGAAATATGCCACGGCTATACATTATTATAAACAATTATTAATTACACAGTATACTCTGTCTTACATAGCAGTGACAGAACTAATGTAGAGAGGGACGTGGTGCAAGAAATGTTTTTGGGCTGTCCTCTAGTGTAAGGTAGGCCAAATGGTAATTCCTCCTCTGTCATACAACTCCCAATATGCTGTGCCAGCTGGGGATCTACCATTTGTCCATTCTTGCAGGGTTGTATTTGTGTGCAGTGTTTGTGTGTTTGAATGTAAGCATGTTTTTTTTTATAGAGTATGTGTGTGCATATAGAGTGTATTTTGTATGTGCTGTTGCCAGATATACTTACATGTCATTGGTTTTATATCTGCAGCCAACCTACTCTTAGTATACCTTTGGTGTGCAGGGGGTGGCTTCACTGATGAGAGTGTGGGAGCTATCTCTCTCCTTGCCCTCACTTCCTCCCATCATTGCTGATGTAAAGTGCTTGAGCCACCCAATGGGTCCCCAAAGTGTCGGCCCCGGTGCCACTGCACCCCTAATCCCTGCGGCACGCCTATGGCTTGAGACCGGCAGGGGAGATCTCAGGATCAAAGATCTTCCTCACCGGCCCACAGCAGCATGGAGTGAGGCAGGAGAGGACCCGGGGAGCTCTAGCCAGCAGCTCCACCAGGTTCCTCTCGCAAGGTCGGAGCGTTGCCGTGGCATGTCCACACAGGAAAAGTTGTGCTGAGCAGCAACCAAATCCACAGAAAGGTTAATGCTGAGCAGCAATTATGCAAATGGAAACCAGGTAACTGCCTTTGGGGTCAAAGGCCGGTTACAGCCTATCAGATCTAGAGGAGGGGTTTTTAGGCCCAGTTCTCATCCTGTTCAGTGCCCTGTCGTGGTTTCCCTTGTGGTTGTCCGAGAGCGCGTTCCTGATTCAAGTTTCTTCTGTTTTTTGACTTTGGCTTTGATTTTGACTTCCCTGTATTCTGTATCCCTGACTTCTGACTTTCTCTTATCGTTGTGTCTCTTTCTATATCCCCTAACCTCGTCAAGTATCCTGACTACTCTTTGGTACGTTAAGTCCGGCCATTCTAAAGCCCGGTAATACGTTACCTATTAGTCATCTATGTGACACAATTCTACGTGTTGGATTAACTAGTAATCCTGACACCAGCACCCTCACATACACATCACTCTAACAGCACCCTCACACACAGCACCCTTACACTGCACACTAACAGCACCCTCACACACAGCACCCTTACACACACACACAGCACCCTTACACCGCACACTAACAGCACCCTTACACACACACACAGCACCCTTTCACCGCACACTAACAGCACCCTTACACACACACACAGCACCCTTTCACCGCACACTAACAGCACCCTCACACACAGCACCCTTACACCGCACACTAACAGCACCCTTACACACACACACAGCACCCTTTCACCGCACACTAACAGCACCCTCACACACAGCACCCTTACACACACACACACAGCACCCTTACACTACACACTAACAGCACACACACACAGCAGTGTATGTATGTGTGTGTGTATATATATATATATATATATACATAAATACATACATATATATATATGCGCGGTGTGTCTTTGTGCTTTAGGGTGCACACTCTAATGCAATAGGCTGCGCACGCCTATGGTTGTTACATAGTATACACTGTTTTCTTTGTTTATAATCAGGATTCCAGAGTACAGAGTATAGAGTGTAGTCAAACAGTTAAAAGTGAAGTCAAAATTTATTTCTGGGAAAAGAAACTTTCAAATGTACTTAAGGACTCCAAATATGGTGCAAGATCAGGTTTAACTAGCCCATCGAATTACCAAGATGAAATTGTATTTGCGTTCTCACAATTAGGCAAAGCCAAATGGACGTTGGCTGCTATAACAATAAAACAGCACAGCAAGACAGCAAATTCTGTGGACAATTCTGTTGATGTGACAAGACGCCCTTTGTAGGTAACCACAATACAGTATAAATTTGAGAAGGCTTTGGATAGAAATGTCACTTTAATTATAATTTTCATTTGGTACAGAGCAGATATATGAAATGCATTGTGAGTACATACATCAAAGCAGTATCACGTCAATTGCTTAGTTTTGACACTGCATTTTTTAAAATTGTGTTTATCACATTAATTTTGCATCATATATATTTACTATGCTCTTACAACAGATTATTGAAATACACTTTAGCTCATTCAGCACTGGCACTATTTCATTTGTCTCCCATGTTGGATTTAGTGTAGGACCCACCGATATTGGGGTACTGTGAAGTAGTAGTGGGCTTAGCACAATATGGCCTTAGGGTGGGACTGAATCCCCAAAGCATAAGTGGCCCAGAGTCAGTATAATATTAAAACTTTACTTTTAATAAAACACTGAAAAGGATCTTATAAAAGTATATACACATAGCTAGGTGAGCTTTATCATGAAAATAGCATTGTGAAGGAAGATGTATCGCCTAGTTTGTGATACATGTAAGTTCTAGGATTTGGTGAAATATCATTTAAATAAAATGGTGGGAAAAAAGCGCACAAATAAGAGTAAAGTTGGTGAGGTGTGAGTGGGAGTGGGGGGAGGAGGGGGGGCACTGTATGTAGCTTGAGATGGGTCCAATTAAATTCAGTATTGTTAAACTGATATGGAGAAATCGTGTCTCTGGACAAACAATATGGCATATTCACTAAATGCTGGACTCAGAATACACATGACAGTAGTATACTATTAGTGCTTTCTTAACCTGGACTTAACCTACACCATGAATGATTTCCGAGGTGGTGTTGGTGGGTATTAACCACTTCAGGAAAAATGAATAGCTACAATATAAAGTGTAAAAAATAGAATAAATAGATAAAAATAGTAGTTAACTGGTGGTTACAAACGATTGGTAATGTCCAGGAGAGCAGGTGGGCAGGAGAATAGTAACACTAAGCTGATGCAATGGGACAGAGATAGACAGAAGCAGAAAATGCTAGATAAATCCTAACAGCACCCTTACACACACACACAGCACCCTTTCACCGCACACTAACAGCACCCTTACACACACACACAGCACCCTTTCACCGCACACTAACAGCACCCTCACACACAGCACCCTTACACCGCACACTAACAGCACCCTTACACACACACACAGCACCCTTTCACCGCACACTAACAGCACCCTCACACACAGCACCCTTACACACACACACACAGCACCCTTACACTACACACTAACAGCACACACACACACAGCAGTGTATGTATGTGTGTGTGTATATATATATATATATATATATACATAAATACATACATATATATATATGCGCGGTGTGTCTTTGTGCTTTAGGGTGCACACTCTAATGCAATAGGCTGCGCACGCCTATGGTTGTTACATAGTATACACTGTTTTCTTTGTTTATAATCAGGATTCCAGAGTACAGAGTATAGAGTGTAGTCAAACAGTTAAAAGTGAAGTCAAAATTTATTTCTGGGAAAAGAAACTTTCAAATGTACTTAAGGACTCCAAATATGGTGCAAGATCAGGTTTAACTAGCCCATCGAATTACCAAGATGAAATTGTATTTGCGTTCTCACAATTAGGCAAAGCCAAATGGACGTTGGCTGCTATAACAATAAAACAGCACAGCAAGACAGCAAATTCTGTGGACAATTCTGTTGATGTGACAAGACGCCCTTTGTAGGTAACCACAATACAGTATAAATTTGAGAAGGCTTTGGATAGAAATGTCACTTTAATTATAATTTTCATTTGGTACAGAGCAGATATATGAAATGCATTGTGAGTACATACATCAAAGCAGTATCACGTCAATTGCTTAGTTTTGACACTGCATTTTTTAAAATTGTGTTTATCACATTAATTTTGCATCATATATATTTACTATGCTCTTACAACAGATTATTGAAATACACTTTAGCTCATTCAGCACTGGCACTATTTCATTTGTCTCCCATGTTGGATTTAGTGTAGGACCCACCGATATTGGGGTACTGTGAAGTAGTAGTGGGCTTAGCACAATATGGCCTTAGGGTGGGACTGAATCCCCAAAGCATAAGTGGCCCAGAGTCAGTATAATATTAAAACTTTACTTTTAATAAAACAC